ATAAAAGCAGTGGACCATTTTAGAATAGCCATTGACCTACGTGTACATAATATTATTTCATTTTGGACGTTTTCTTCTGGTTTATTTTTGAAATATATTTAACACAAATGCACTATATATATGCATTTTGGTTTTAGTAAATCTTTAATCAAGTTTTGTTTGTCAGATAAGGGTGAGGGTTGGACAGAAAAGCTTTAGCCAATCCCCCATTAAGCGAATTGGACCTAATCACTGGGAAGAGTTGTTACATCTAATGTGATCAGGGAGTGGATGCGAGGCGGTCTGGAAACTAAGTATACGAATATTTATGTCTCAACCTATTCAGTATATATATTTGTGCATCTTTGAAGATCTACATTTAAGTTGTAAAATACAATCCGAGCTTTCGGCTCCTGGGCCTTCTTCGGGGATTATGAACAAAAAGTGAAAAAGACACCTAGACATCTGAATAATGGACTCAGTATAGGGACAAAAGTTTCTTAAATGAGTATTGATTTTTTCTTTGTTACTTAATTTTGACGTTTTTTACGTTTAGCACGCTTTTTGGACATCGTGTGTCTTTAACACATCACCGACGTAACATTTGTTTTTTCACTTTTTGTTCATAATTCCCAAAGAAGTCCCAGGAGGCGAAAGCTCGGATTGTATTTTACAACTTAAATGAAATTCAGTATAACGTTTCAATGTATCAGTGTTAGGGATTGAATATTTACTTATTTGTAATTAATTTTATAAGAAGTACTGTGACGCGTGCATGCATAAGAATGGCTTGGGCCATTCCCCAGTGTTTCCCCCACAACATTTTGCTTCCTCCTTATCGCGCCCTATGGAAATGAAAACTGTTTCGAACTTCGTTGGTAGAAAAAGTATCAGCAGTTGAAGACATACCAGGAGTACATGTCTATTTACAAGAAGCAGACAAAAAAGGGGATATGCCGTGGAATCTCCCATTTAAATTCCTAATTACTGACATGTAAATATTTGTAGTAAGCGGTTGTAGTAGAAATAAAAAGAGCATAACAGACAGTAGGTTTACTGTATAAGTATTACACTTCCATTTCTAATTTCGGCAAGATTTCACTAGTCCAGTTGTACTATTTCAGTCCGTTTAATATATAAGTTGAATTATAGCTACACTGTATGACGGGAGATTTTAAGAATTGTAGCTTCACTGGCCTGCAATCCTTTAAGGCATAGGGGGCGAACTGATAGCGTAAAATACTGTTTCAAACAAATGTTAATCGTTTTGTCGATACTTTATGTCAATACCTTTAACAGTAAAGCATTGGGTACTAGAAACATGGCATGTTTAAGACTGCGTGGCCATCAGATACAAGTTTGGTTTATTTCAGTAAAGATATCCGCTCCTTATACCTTTCAAAGTGCTCTATTCTCGTAAGACCTTCAAGTTTGCCGCCGTGGCCTTTGTTAAATGTTACTACAAAGACTACCCTCTACCAGGGCCACATATTGATTTTTCACTAGATACACGTTTTCACAGATATGTCTCTAGTTATAAACGATGGGACTTTTCTGTCCTGCGTCAGAGAAAACTGCACATGAAACCAGCGGTCCTGGGAGATTGTAGATTATGATAAACGCGACCAAAAAAGTTCGGAAACGTGAAACTGTTTTTCAATCACCAAAAAATATAATGTGTTGGGGAAATCTTCTGTGTAAATAAAGATTAACAAAGGGTGGGTTCATTATCCAACAATATTTGGTAAAAATATTTACCGAAACTAAAAATGGTTATTTTATAACTATTCAAAATAACGTTGTTTCCGAATTTCTTTGGGCGAAAGTACCAGCAAGGTAACGAGTGGTGACTTGGCGTAACGTTGTCGTGCGAATAAAGTACGAATAAATATGGAAATTTTTTATCGTCCAGAAAAGCTTAAATAGCTCAACTTTACAATTTTTTTCATAAGCCAAGAGTGAGTGTTTCGAAAGATCATTTGGAACAATTTACTGATATATTTTCCCGACAGCGATTTTCATGCTATGTTCCTTTTTCCATGTTTTATGCTTTGGTAATAATAAATCAAATAAATCATGTAAATATAGAAATAGTCACAAGTTATTGATCTTATTAGTCAGTGGCGCACACGTTCTGTGTGATATTTGATGAATTATATCTCTTTAATTACTGTCAATTTCTCAAATTTTTGAATTTTTTGAAATGCTTGTAGATATTGATAACATCAAACCATAAACGAGTAATTTGGTTGACCGTTTATCGGTGAAATGTAATACATTTGTTGTATATAGTACACCTTAGAGTGATGAAGTGATGATTTAAGTGTTATTAAACGTGATAGTTTTACATTTAAATGCTTAAATATGATTAATACGTAGTTGTTTGAGACTGAATAAAGATTTTCCAAGTATACAAAATGTCTTAGTTATTTCTTTGACGGGTGCATTGCTCAGCGGCAACCTGAGGTTGGGCTTCGACCTTGGCTTACGTTTCTAAAATTTCTTTAATGTATTGGGATTTTCTTTAGAATTTTACTTTGGTTACTACAAGAATTTCATTGACTCAGTGGTGCCTCTCGGGTTTGGGTTCGTTTCCTGGTTCGGGTACATGGAAATCATTGAATACTTTTTCAAGGGGCTTTACAGAATTTTCCCTTTGGTTACTATAAGAAGAAAGTCCCACGGAGGAGGGTGGGTGGGAACACTCAGGGGAGTAGGTAACGCGCTTGCCTCTGCGTCAGAAAGTCCGAAGTTCGAATCCTGGCGCTTCTGGGTCCCAACAATTTTCCTCTTGCAAAAAATTCAAATAAGCAAGGTGAACTAATGCAAGAGGATCCCACATTTTAGAAGAGGCTATTTGAGTTAGTGGCTCAATAGGTAAGACAACAGACCTGTATAGAGAAGAACGAGAGTTCAAATCGAGCTAAAGGGAACAGAAGGTGAAAAATGAAAGGGAATTTAACATACAATATCTGCACATTATTTTCATTATTTATTGTTTCAACAAATTCCAAGTAATTTCAACATAGTTTTATACAAAACAAAATACCAGAAGTTACATTTTTTTCTACATTGATAGCAATCATTATAATAGCGCCAAATTTATGAGAAATTTATAAATTATGCTTTTACAAAAAAAAAAAGAAAGAAAGAAATTATGCTTTTACAAAAAAAAGAAAAAAAAAGTCATATATGAAGGATTTTATGCACTTTGGAAATTGCTGCTCAAACAACGATTTCTTTTTACTTAAATAAAAGAGAATTTTGACATAATGCTTCCCAAAACAAAAAATGATCAGAACTGGTAGATAAATTGAAAGTCCAACCCTATCATACTTTTGAACTTTTGTTCAAAGTTGACGTTAATAATTGATTACTTATTCCATCGAGGAAAAAGGTGTCCAATCTCAGTGGTGTGAACGATATCGAAATTCCAAAATGCATATAATCGCACATAGGCGTCGTCCCCTCACGTGCATTCGCACTCACGAACACCTTTTTCTATGCTGATTGTCGCACAGAAAAAGGTATACAAAAAGACATTCTTAAGAATCGAGTTTTTTACATTATTTTGTTTTCATTTCATTACATCCTAATATTGGTAGGTTAAAGGCACGACTTTGAGCGAAAACTTAAATTTGCACACATGCAAATCAGGAACGGCATAAAGATAATTTACAAGCTTATTCTGGTCATAACAATTTAAGGAAAATATACAAACAAAATTGAAAAGATTACAAAAATAAATAAATAAAAAGCAACAACGGTGACTTAAGATTCACTAATTCATAAATGCTAATAGCCTAATAGCAAAAATATCCCAACCGGAAGTGCTGGACTGGCATCTAATCAGACCTTTTCCTCTCAATCACCCCTTGATCACGACCAAAGAAATATTAATTAATAAAGCACTTCGAACAAAGTACATAGGTGAGCGTTACTTGAACCCCCCACCCCCACCACCACCACCAACCATGTTTTGGGACGGTTGAGGCAATCACTTTGAATTGCATGATGAATTTTCGAAATTAAATATGTAAATGTTATGATGAATGCCAGTCGTACATAGATATTTTATGCATATACACAAAACTTTTCCAGGAGAGCACTTACATTTCTGCTTTGCGATATTGGCAAAAAGTCGAACAACACACAAATTAGCTCATGGAATGCTGATAAATTTGGGTGGCCCTAAGAAGGGACAATTTTTATCACTTGGGTAGCATTTATTCCCCTACTGCAATAACTATTCCTCTCCTGGTTTCATTTTCTTAACATTGTTTTAGACCCCTCCCAGCACAGTAAGTGTGTATCTGGCACGGATCAGACACAATATCAAAGCACCGAAACCAAAGTAAGTTATTCTTAACATGCGTCATAAACGTATATCGACAACTTAAAAAAAGGATCGTTTCTTATAAATGGGCAATTCTGCAATCACGTGGACAAATTTTGTCATTTTCATAACGCTGTAATTTCTAAAGCATTATAACTTGAAAAACAGTGTAAGTTATTTTAAAATAATTTGTTCTTTTTCTCAAACTTAACGATCAATATATGTAACCATTTGTCTCTCAAAAGTTTCATATAATAAAGTTGAGATATTTTTCTTCTCGGAATTTCTCAGAATTCAATTCAATTCAATCCAAAACAAATATTTAGAATATCTTCAAATGCACAGCTAAGTTACTAACTGAAGATTTGCCCAAAGAAAAATTTTAACTTCAATTAGAAAATCAATAGTGCTGGCACAGTACTCTACCTAAAAATCGCCTTTTAATAATTATATTTGATAACTTTCATTTTTGTTTTCATCCATCACTTCAGCAAAATACTTATTGGATTAAAATTATTTTGTTAAAGGTGAAATCCAAAAAGTGCCGTGTTTTTTCAGAACTGATGGGTACCTCCTCCTGACACAATAATAAATATACATAATAAATAAAATACCTTGAAATGATATGTATAACCAAGGTAACTATAGCTAGCAGTCATCCATTTCTTTCTTTTTCTCTGATCAGAAGTTTCGTTAAAAAATTCTTTCTGCGTGCAAAAATTAATTCGATACACGTTTTATGCAGAGTATTATTATCCAAGGCAAAGATAACATTTCATATCAATTGTCAACCCCGCAAGACAAAATTCAACAAGCAAGACAATCTTGGCATGGATGCGGGCGATGTCCAACATGATTCCGATGTCTTTGATCGGTGACGCATCCAATCACCCGGTAAACAGCAGTTGGGAGCCACTGAAATAAACGAAAAAATCACATTCACGACACGGTTTGATGAAGCTGTATGTATATATCTTTACAGCATGCTATTTTGGAACACATGCGATTATGTTAACAAAACACTATTGTGCCATTCCTGTTCTTTACTACTCTGCAAACTGTTTCATGACAATACACTTCTTTGCATTTATATGTAAGATGCGATATGAAAGGACCAGGTGCCCGACAAGATATTTTTCATACTTTGAAAACAGGACAGTGACCTCGCCAATAAAACAGTTAGGAGAATGTAGATACCTGTCCAGTGGTCTTACTTGTTGAGGACTTGTTCAGACCTTTGGACGGCTGCAATAAGCACCTCACTTCCTCATTGGCAAGTGCGTTCCTTCTCTGAAATTACAGAAAACAAATCCTTCAAAATTTGAGCTGATTTTGAAATTCTAATGGAGAGTGTATTCGACATAAGTGCAATGTTCCCACCGTCATTAAGACCCCAGTGTCAAATGCAACATTTGGGCAAACTTCATCAACACAAAATACACAACGTTATCTTTTATCATCTGTACAATACTACGGCAGCTTCCTGTCATTTTCTGTGCTACATTTTTGGCCCACATGTGGAAATTGCAGCAAACGTACCATGAACCTCTGTCTTCTTCATCTTCTACTGACCCTGGTCCTATCTGAGCACCTCTCACCGAAATGCTCACCTGTATTACATAATAATGTACAAGCCACCCACTTTTCGTACGCAAGTTTCGATTTAAACTTGTTTTTGTTATTTGATATGGCGCAATGGGTCCTAATACCGGGATGGTGATTTTAGGGTCTCTACCATCATAATGGCAAAAATAATAACATCTTATCAACCATTAGGTTTGATATCAAATTATTTGGTTATGTTCCCCCCCCCCCCAAAAAAAAGAAAAAATCACCTGTACCGGTTGTTTTAGAGAAGACAAGGTGCGTTTTTTGTTTACCCGATTTGTATGTAACGTTATAATTAGTGACAGCGTTCACTTGGGCCCAGCGTGTGCACAGCTTAGTAAACTGGAGTTGTCACATCAAGGATTGACTTAACAGATGTGTTTTATAAAGTACATAAAAAAACTAAAACTGACTCAGACTAGGTGTAAATGTTCCACCAGCCCAGCTGCCGTGTGAGAGGGTACCATTGAGGGGGGGGGGGGTGATCACAATTCACGGGAAATAAAATTATCAATTCATAAATTACAGTAAATAAAACTGTAGTCATATATCACTGAAAATGCGCTTTAAAAATCACGAATCACCGGGTATAACGACTTTCTTTCACGAATAACGGGGTTTTCTTCTATTTTGATGCAATATTACATAATGCTTAACAGCATAATGACCATCAATTTTTAATAATAAAATATACGTATCATGGATTTTCAGAAAATTTGATCTATGTACTTGAGGATTTTATGGTAAAAGGTCCACTTTTTCAGAAAACGACCCCCCCCTCTAAAATTGTTGGCTACGGGCCTGTGAATGGTGATAGCTTTCAATTCCTCGTGAGTGGTGATTGACCTGAATATATCTTCGTGATTGGTGATGAAGGGGGGGGGGGGTGTATTCCCTACCCTCAATCATATGATTCTGGCTCTTATCCAGATAGTTGACAGTCTTCAGCAGTGTACAAATTAAAGTTAGTAGGGGTGTATCTTATAAATTCTTTAATGGCATATGATAGCCAAACTTTCAAAAAAGAAACACAGGACTAAGGGTGCATTCCCAGAGATTTAGATCGACCTAGAGATTTAGATTTAGAACGACCTAACTCCCTGGGGGTTCACGCTAAATTGCTGGGGGCTTACTGACACAAACTTTGGGCACTTATGCAGATTATGCCTGTTTGCATTGAGCTGAATTCTTTTATTAAAATAACGGAGCGGTATAGTTGTTCGAGATGGTTTGCGGCAGTTATCCTGAGTTGTCAGAAAATAATTTGAAGAACAGTTGGTGGTTGTATTATTATTACGCCTTCTTGCTGTCCTCTTCGTGATATCCATGGTCAGCTTACACAGTAACGATGAATCTTCTAAAAGTTGAACTTATATATGGTATCATCCAAAATCAACCAATTATATTACAGGATAAAGCTCTGATATATCTTATTTAAATTAGGCCCTATTTGTTTGTGAAAATTGCCCATGTCACCCTGTTAGTTTGGAGGGCTAAACTGGATCAAGCCCGTCGAAGGGGATTTTTGATTATATTCCTTGAAAAATACGCTAACTTTGTAGAGAATAATATCAGAATGTAAACAAGAGATGACTGTACTGAAATGAGTTTATTTCCATTTTTACATAAAACAAAAAATCAATTTACTGTCATTTTTATATGATCAACTAAGAAAATTGTTGACATAGGAAAAAATCAATAGAACAGTTTTAAATGTCAAATTGCTCCATTCTGAAATTCTGAACATAGTGAATGATTGAATCTGACAAACTTAAATAATATGAGTTGATTTCCATTTTTGACACTTTATTACACAATACACGATAACAGGTTAATCATCATTCTTATATAATCAACTAAAAATATTGTTAAGATGCAGAAAATGTAAAAAGAACACTTTTAGGTATCTAATTAGTTCAAAAATGAGACTGTTAACTTGCCCAAGAATTAAATCTGAAGAAAAACCACTTAAAAAAGGCATAACTTCATCAAAACTTAACTAATCAAGCTTATTTTCTAACTAGTGTTGCATATAGAAAAAGCTAAAAAACAGCATAACTTTTAAGAAAATGGCTCCATCATGCTGATTTTCAAACTTGACCTGTGTATTATGACTATTCATCAGTTCTGTAAGTTTCAAGCCATAAAGTAAAACCGTGTTTCACTTATCATGTTACCGGTGTTGCTTATATGCTGAAAAAAGTGAAAAAAAAACAGCATAACTTAAATAAAAATGGCCCGATCATGCTGATTTTCGAACTTGACCTGCGTATCATGAATATTCATCAGTTCATAAGTTTCAAGCCAAAAGGTAAAATGGTTTTCCACTTATCGTCTTATCGGTGAAAGTGCACGGCGAACAGCAACGACGACAACAGACGCAGGTGACGGCTATATGTACAGACACATCTGTGTCTGTACATAATAAACAAGGCAGCAAAGCTGTCAAATGTACAGACAAATAAAAACAGAAAATAAAGATGCAGAAGATCGGTCATTTTGTCAATTTTGATGCAATAATAAATAATGCTTATAATAGGACAGTCAATCAACAATGAATATTAATCATGCAAAGCAACTAACATGGTTAATAACAGGAACGAATCCAGATATATTTTCTGACAGTTATCTTTGTTGGTCCATCCTCTATATTTGATGGTCTTCCAAGAGAAAAAAATAGATACCTGTCAATGTAAACTTAAAAATCTGACCGTCTTCCGGAAGACCCAGAAGACGGTCTCAATCTACCCTTGCAATAACATTACAGCTTCAGGACCGTGAGTATTCAAATTCACATATTGAAAATCCTAATCCTGGCAGCAGTGTCAACTTTTACGCAATATAACAGAATGCTTAACAGCATAATGGCCATGAATTTTTTTAAATTTTTTTATTTTGAAATTTTATTAAAATAATAAAGTAAAAGTATCATGGACATTAAAAAAATGTGACTAGCAAAGGTCTTCAAGCCAATGGAAGTCCAAAGACACATCTTAATAATGTTGATTTGTGAAAATTTTAATTCTATCAACAAAATAAATAATTTCCAGAAAAGATAACCAGTAAGACAGGTTTTCCAAATGAAGCTATATTTTAGTCCTATGCTACTTTTTTGTAAGTTTGAGAAGAGTAAGTGACATGGTATTCCTTTAATGGTCACTATGGAGGCAGTAGCCAAAATAGGGTTGTCTTAAATTTTGATGCAATATTACATAATGCTTAACAGCATAATGACCATCAAATTTTAATAATAAAATAAAAGTATTATGGAAATTCAGAAAATGTGACATGGAAAGGTCTTCAAGGCCATGGAAGTTCAGAGTCACATTTTCAAAATGCCATAATGTAAACAAGAGATAACTGTACTGAAATGCTTTTCTTTCCATTTTCAACACTTATTTTTACATAAAATAATTAATTTACTGTCATTTTTAAATGATCAATTATGAAAACCATTGACATAGGAAAGATATCAACAGAACAATTTAAGATGTCCAATTTGCTCCATTCTGAGATTCTGAACATAGTGAATGATTGAATCTGACAAGCTGTAAAGATATGAGTTTATTTCCATTTTTGACACTTTATTACACATTACCCAATAACAGGTTTACCATCATTTTTATATAATCAACTAACACTATTGTTGAGATACAGACAGTGTCAAAAGAACACCTTTATATATCTAGTAAGTTCAACAAGGCAGCAAAACTGTCAAATGTACAGACAAAAAAGGAAATAACTATGCACAAATAGGCTACTGTCAATTCTGATGCAAAAGTACATCATGTTAAACTGCAAATTCAACATCAAATTTTAATTATGTTTAACAGGTAATACCAATGTAAGTAAAATGTGTAACAAGCATAAGGCTTCAGGCCCATGGGAGTTAAAGTTCACACTTTGAAAATGTATAACTTTCAGAAAAAGAAGCCAATTAGACTGCTTTTCCAACTCAGGCTGCATTTTAGTCCTGTATTCCTTTTTTGAAAGTTTGGCAATCATAAGTAACATGGTTTTCTCATAATGGTCATCATGGCAGCAGCACCCAAAATTGTGTTTTCTTCTATTCTGATGCAATATTACATAATGGTTAACAGCATAATGACCGTCAATTTTTAATAATAAAATAATAAATTATTAAATTATTAAAATAATGGAATATATGCATCATGGATTTTCAGAAAATGTGACAGCATGGGTCTTCAAGCCCGTGGAACTTCAAAGTCACACCTTGAATGCCATTTTTATATGATCAACTAAGAAAATTGATGAGATGGGGAAAAATATCAATAGAGCAGTGTTAAATGTCCAATTTCTTCCATTTTGAGATTCTGAACATAGTGAATGATTGAATCTGACAAACTGCAATGATATGAGTTTATTTTCATTTTTGAAACTTTATTACACAATACACGATAACAAGTTAACCATCATTTTTACAAAATCAACTAACAATGTTGTAAAGATGCAGGAAATGTCAAACAAACACTTTTACGTATCTTATTAATTAAATAATGAAACTGTTAACAAAGTTACATGCCTAAGAATTGAATCTGAGGAAATGTGAAATATGTACAGACACATCTGTGTCTGTACATAAAAATGAGACTGTTAACATGCCTAAGAATTAAATCTGAGGGAAAAAACACTTATATACAAAAAAAAAGGCATTACTTCACCGAAACTTAACCGATCAAGCTTATTTTGAACTAACTCTGACTTTCAGCAAGACTGATGTCTCCAATCGATTTTCCTTGAAATGTGTTATCGGTGTTGCATACATGATGGAAAAAGTGAAAAATAAACAGCATGATTTTTATAAAAATGCAGAAAATAGGATACTGTCAATTCTGATGCACTAATGTATTATGCTTAACTGAAAGCCAACATCAAATTTTAATTCTGCGTAACAGTGAAAGGGATGAAAGTAAAATGTGCAACAAGCATTAGACTGAGTTTCCATACCTAGATCAATCTAACAGGATCAATCCAAGGGGTTTCT